TTGGTGCCTTTCTTTGGATTCTCGTCACGCAGGGTTGCTCTCGGCTTTAAAAATTTCAATGTTTATTAATTTTTTAAAGCTTTACCTCTATAATTTAGTCTTTAATTTTCGGGCTGTGGATTTGGAACCAGTTCTTCTAATGCCTGCAAAATTTTATTTCAATTCTAAGAGTACAGCTTGGAAACGTTTTCTTTCAGGCAATTTAAAAGACGAAATTTACTACATCAGGTTTACGTATAAACAACAAGCAATCGAAAACATATTTCAGAATAAGGTCTTCAAAATGTGAGTGAAATATTAGGTAGAAATAAAGCGCGTCCATCACGCTTTTCGAAAGTGATAACGCATTCATTTCTCACAAATGCATTAAGTTAGAATGGCGTTGACTCAATGGATAGAGCTTTCGTCACCCAATAAGGTGAGCTCGGGTTCGAAACCCAGATGTAGCTGGTTGATGCGAATTCAGGTCCATGCTTGCACCGATCACAGCGCTGAAGAAAAACATCCTCAACGATTCTCGGGTTAGATTCCCCTTACCGCCAGGCTAACCATGGAGGTTTACGTGGTTTACCTGTCCATATAACGCTAATGCGGGCTAGTTCCATTGAAAAGTCCTCCACGATGGCTACTTTGTGTCATTGCTGAATCAAGGAGTTCTCTTGTTTTCCGGGTAAGATTCGAAATTGAAAGGCTACGAACAGTGGCGTAGTTTTTATGCATATTAGAGAAGGTTATCGATCATCTGCTTCTGATATATATCTAAACTTTTTAATTTACAAAAAAGAGAAATGAATGATTAAAACTTTTTTATATTTACATCCTATTTATCGTACAACAGTTCGTTAATCAAGTAATGTTTAATTTCGGAGTGGGTTTCGTCTCCCAAACCTTCCCCAAAATTAAGCCACTGGCTACGGAGTTGAACAATGATAGTCCTAAACTCAGAATTGAGTTAGATAGAACAGAATAAAAATTTTTTTTTATTAAATTAAACAAATAATAAAGAGGAAATGGTATGTGGATAGTAGTTTGAATCATAAAGAATTTTTTTCAAACTTTAAGAATTTCGCTTCTCTGCACATCTACAGATACATTTTTTCACATTAATTTTCCTTTAAATTTGTTATAGTTTACGAAAGAAAAGTTACACTACTCAAAATAATCTCATTAAAAATTGAAATCAGAGCTTTAATCTGATGAGCAGCATAACGAGGTTTTTATAATTATGAATAAATAAACCCAGATGGGTGCAGTTTGTTTGACAGGATTTTTCAAGGATACTGTAACTTAATTATATTTTCCGCTACGATAATTGGAAAATAAATATGATACCGTAAATTATATTTTGTTCAGCGTTCAAGTAATTAATATGCGATGAAAAAACTAACTTCTGTTTATGTTAAAATGTGAACCTTTCCTTACTTTGAAATTGGCCATATTTTGGACTTTACTTTTTGATGTTACAAATGCGTTTTACAAAAATATTTAGTAAGAGAATTAACATTATTAGAAATGTATTGAATGTAAAAAATGCTTGAATTGTGACTAAGTAATCGGACAAACTTCATGAATTAGGTTTTTGTTTAATGTTAATTAGAAAAAGATCAGGTTAAAAATTGTTTTGCTAATTTGAAATTTATAAAATTAGGGTACGGTGATGCTTTTAATAAATATATTATTTATTCAGCTCATATTCTGAATGAATAAATATGTTTATACATTTAGTGATGTATGAACAATTTGTTATTATTACTACTACTATTATTACTACTATTGTTATTACTACTATTGTTAGAGAAATTTATTTTGAATACATAAAGTTAAGAGTCCTGAAAGTAAGAAAGTGGAAATCAATTCTGGGAGAAAATAGCTCGGGAAAAGCTTCTAAGGAAGGCTTAGGCCCACAAAGGGTAGTCGTGCCAATGCAGTGTTTGGAACTGGCGTGTTTTTAATTACTGTAGTCATTAAAGTTTTGAAGTGTAATGCACTGTATTTTGAAAGAAATATTGTAGTAAGTAGTGGAATACCAAAATAAATAAATAAATAAAGACAAAAATTGTAACGATTTCTTTTAACAACTTTTAAGATAAGTTTACTATAGAACAAAGGTTCAAACGCAACTAATTTTGCTTGCTCTCAAGAAAAAAATTATTGCAACAACAGGTTTTTCTTCACAAACATTAGTTTTTATGCAATTTATTAATATTTTCCTGACCAGGATATTTTTACATTCACTCGAGTCAATACTAAGTGTCCCCACTCGTCTGGTACATAGGGAATGGTAGGAAGAAGACTATAATACATTTCAGTTTATAATGCGATTGGCTTAGGACTATGTTTTTCGATCTTGAATGCTATTGCAGAATAGTGTATATGTATGCATATAAATCTATACCTTCTATATAAACTTGCGCATTCGGACAAAAAATAAACAAAAGTAAAAAGTAACATTTTAGAAAAAAAATCTGTAGCTTTCCGAGCAAAACTAATTTCAGATTTGAAATCCTCACACCATAATTAGGTTAGGTCAAATTCTCGTATAAATGCAACAAAAAAAGTTGTTCTCTAATGTTATCGATTTGATTAATCTTTTAATATAAGTTTCGATGCCAATGAGAAAAATAAATGTGAACCGGTTTTGTGGCAGATTTTGGGTGTCTCTTAGGAGAAAACAACTTGGAAATAGTACGTAAGAGGTAAAGAATGTTCTGAATTGAAATCGAATCGAACACTAGGTTTACGGGACGCGTCATTTCGACGCATTTCGAATTTTATAAGGAAAATTACAAATCCCGTTTGCATATTTATTTTATCTCTTGTAATGACTTTTCTCCATTGATCGAGGTAAGTATATATTGAAGTCTATTTTCTTCAAAAGCGTTGAAATATTGAAATTCTCTTTGTGGTACTCCTATCGTCAATTTGACGCGATCGTAATTTAGACAAAATTTTGAGTAAACGTGCAAACATCACATCAATAATAAATAAGAATGTACCGAAAATACTTCGATCCGTTAACCGATATCGCTATCTCAAATGAAACAAGCGATAAACTACTGTTGCCGATAAGCAATAATAGAAAGAACAAACGCAGAATGTCAATTGTAGTCAGATTTTAAAGGTTTCAGTTGCTTAGTTGAAAAATAAAAATACTAGAATAATTTCATAAATATATTTTTTTCTTATNGACATTTTGACGCATTTCGAATTTTGTAAGGAAAGTTATGAAAACCGTTTGAATTTTTATTTTGTCTCTTGTAATGAATTTTAACTATTGATAGAAGTAAATATATATTGAAGCATATTTTCTTCAAAAGCATTGAAATATTGAAATTCTCTTTGTGGTACATCTATCTCTACGGATGTGCGTCAATTTGACGCGATCGTAATTTAGACAAAATTTTGAGTAAACGTGCAAACATCACATCAATAATAAATAAGAATGTACCGAAAATACTTCGATCCGTTAACCGATATCGCTATCTCAAATGAAACAAGCGATAAACTACTGTTGCCGATAAGCAATAATAGAAAGAACAAACGCAGAATGTCAATTGTAGTCAGATTTTAAAGGTTTCAGTTGCTTAGTTGAAAAATAAAAATACTAGAATAATTTCATAAATATATTTTTTTCTTATAGTATATTACATTGCTTTCTAAGCGCAGAGATGCCAACTGCTCCGTACATGCCAAAATAATTCGAAGAAAAACAAAAAAAGAAAAAGAACGGTAAATAACTACTAAGTGCATTTTGCAAATATAAAGTGGTGAATTGTATAAGCCTTCAAATTATTTAGAAATAGTGGTGGATAAAAATCTATTAATTGAATTTATTAAACCAAGAATCACAACTGATAAACTTACCTCTTTAAAATGTATATTTGCTGTCGGGAGCAAGTTGACATCTCTGTAAGTGCTGTTGTATGTATTCGTTCATGCGTCAAATTGACGCGTGTTCGTATAGAGATAGGTATAAAGGAAATATCCGTAAACCTAGCGTTAAAAAATTTTAAATTTTATTAATCACCACTTTTTGCATTTTTAGTTACCCGTGGCAACCCTGTATTATTATATAAAACAGTAGAAATATTTTGTTTCTCTACAATGAATTGTATACCTGCCAACTCTTCCGGATTTTCCCGAAGATTTTATTTTCATATTTAAAGTGGTAGTAAATATATACTATATTTTCTTTTATAAACTTAATTTTCGAATGATTTTGATCACCACTATTCTTACAAAAATGAAGCACATATATTAATATGCGTTACTATCATGGTTGTCATATCATGATTTGAACTGCATATGCAGCCATCTCGAGCCGTTACTGCCTCGTACTCCTCCAAATTTCACTTCCTCATCACTTCCAATGCCATTAGTACCAGTCGCCCTAGGGCAAAATTCAGATCAGAGGTCTAGTGCCCGCTTGCGCGGGCAGGTACCTTGCCAAAATTACACGATCCAGTCATGGTTGTCAACTAGTTTTTTCAAATGCAACGTGTTTGTTTGCTTAAAATTGAAGTTTTAATTCCATTTTAATACCACTGGGAAAAATAATAATGGAAGGGATTAAAAGTTGGCAGGTATGGAATTGTGATTATAAAACTCAGACGAAATGACTTCAAGGAAGCAAGCAAGACACGGTTTTTGTACACACTGAACGTAAACCAAATAGTGAAAGAACCATCTAATATGAAATCTATAAAAAATTAGAAAGTGGTAGCACATTGTATATGTCTAAAAATTTGATTAACTTGCGAATTTAATTAGTTTATTTTATTTACTTGTCAACCACTACAGATTCAATTCTCAAATATGTATGATAAATTTCTCTCAAATACTTTTAAAGTAGAATTTGGGTTCTTGCGCACAAGTGGTTCGCTTTTTAAATAATCTGCGCAGACTACTTATAAGAAACCGTGTGGAGGCTTTCTGTTATAGGAGGTGATGGTTAATCTATCACAGAATGGGTCTAGAGAGCAAAATAAGAAACAGCTTACCTTGGAATGAACTTTGAACTTCTGGTCAGAGTGAGCTCGTCCACAATAATCGAGCTATATTTCATATCCGTATTCCTGCAGAAAGTAGAGTAATCTCGTTTCTTTCACATTGAAACTTAATTTCAATGATTCGCTGACAGTCCCATCTGTAAGCAAGAAAGAAAAAAAAAATTTCAAATTTTATGCGTGAAGACTCAGATTAAAATAGATCAAGAAACCGAAGTTGAATAAGAAATTATAATAAATATTCCCAAACAGTCAATAACGAACCGAAACTGAAAATGACCAGAGAATGGCGGTAACAGCTTCATTCTGTGCTTTGCCGTAAATGCAATGTTGAAGTAATTTCTGCAGGTTGGAAAAATTCCTACACGAGGCCTTTTGCGGGCTGGCAAAACGTGAAAAGTGCTATATGAACTGTGCGGGAAAAAATCTTACCTTTTTTTAACACTTTCGTTACTGCAGCGTGCTTTTCTGAAATGATACCATTGAGCGGTACATCGTGCCGCGAGGTTGTTATTATATTTTAATTTTGTAGCCAGCAAATACTACGCCTCGAAATATATGACACAGCTGAGTTGCCACGGGCAACTGTAAACGAAAAATGTGGTGATTTATAAACCAGAATTCTCTACCAAAATTTGCAACTTTTCTAGCATGTTAATTTTAGTTTACTGTTGGATTTATTTCTACAAGAGTCAATATTTTAAATATGAGTAATTTGAAATTTATGTCATCGTGGTAGTTACGATTAAATAATAACAAATAAAATTTCAAGCACTTATTACATTTTCAGTCGCCGGTGACATGCCTGCTCGCCTAGTAGTTTTAGTACTTATTGGCTATTGGGCAGCTGGGCCGTGAAGCGTCCCTCATCCCATCTATTATGTACCTTTTAATGTATGGAGTGACTCAGTGCTGTCAGTTGACCTTTTGGTTTAACATTTCAAACTCTTTGCTCAAAAAAATAATATAACTTGAGATAATAACAAACACTTTGCCGAAAATTGTAGATGCGGACCTGCACACAGTAAAAACTTATTCAGATTAAACGCTTTGAAAGTATATTTTAAGTGGTATTATATCATTGGTGTAGTGTAAAATGTAGAATGGAAAATTACAGAGATGCCATAGGCGATAGGCGACTAAGAATATGCAAAGTGGTGATTGATAAAAAGCAAAAATCTATTAAAAGATTTTTAAAATTCGGAACTTTTCTCTAGCACATTTTCATCAGTTTACTATTGAAGGTGTGATTGGAACGATTTTTTTTTCGGTTTAAATATAAATATGGTGGTAGTTACGATTGAATTATTAAGCAAATTAGGAAAACAAAAATAAATTAAGTGTTTTTACCACTCCTTAAATTTTAGTAGCCTGTGGCATCTCTGATATTACCATCTTGAAGTAGATTGGGGTGGTTCCCAAACAGTCTTACACTGATGGTGGCTAATTATGGTGATCGAACCACGAACACGCAGGTCGTTGCGCGGATACTGGCTAAACAAGGCGAAGAACGAAAGGGTTAACTGCAAACTTTGAAAATTTTTACGTAGCAAAACTGTTAACACTCATTGAAAGACCATCATCGAAGATTATAGTGGCTGGTGTCTTTTTTTTACCAAAGCAGAATTCTCAACGTCTCAATAAATAGCAAAACTTAAAAACTTTTTTCCTTTTTTAATACTAATACATTGAAAGTTATTCTTTTATTTGTTTATTGGTATACATACATATGCTGGCTTGTGTGCTCAATACAAAGAACGGCTTGTAAGCATTTGTCAGGTTGAAGAATAGTTAGCACAAGTTAGAGAAGGACATCACAAAGGAGGTAAAAAAAAAAAAATCTTAAATCGGAGAGAATATGATCCTTTTGCTCAGTCTTTAACACGTTCACGCCGGGAAAAGTGAAAATACTGGTACGGGAAAAGAGAAAATACTGGTAGAAGAACTATTTCAATATTAGATAATATTTGGGAGGAGTTAATCTATTCTCAACAATAACAATTCACTGTAAGGAAATTTATCACGGCGAAGAAGCAATTCAATATAAAAATTGCATCCGTTAAAAACAATTGGTAGTTATGGATTTTTATTATTCCCGGAAAAAAACTAAAAAATGAAATTTATTGTTACCTATTTTTACTCCGGTGCGCTGACAAGACGAGACAATCTAGCGTGACCCACCGGTGGGTGACCCCGGCGTGAACGTGTTAAACCTGGATGTTATAAAACGTGAATTTAATATAAAAATTTGAATTCTTGATTATGTATTATCACTGAGAATAAAATATATATTTTCTTCTGAAATGATATAAATGCGATTTGTTTAATTAATCGATAGTTAACACAAAAAATGTCGTACCAGATTGATCGTAAATATCTTACCACTTTTTTCATAAAGGCATTTTTCACCGCAATACAAAAAGATGCCTTCATGGAGAGTGGGTATTATGAAATTTAATAAAATTAGTATTAAACGAGAAAAAAACAAATTTTGCTTCGATATTTAATTTTGAAATTGATCTGTAAATATTGATAGTTAAATGATTGTGGTTTAACGTACGTCTATAAGAAATAGTTAAAGCCAGAGAGAAATATGCCAGATCCGTCAACTTTTACTCTTTCCGAGGAAGTACTTCTTAACTTCCCACGACCTGGAAAAAATAAATGTAGCTATGATACTTCAAGACTACTGAAAAATGCTTGATTTATCTTTCATTTGTGAATAACGAAATTATTCACGAGTTATTTTATGCACCCATATATATATTTATTAACACGTCGAATGCCGTGGGGGTCACGGGTGACCGGCACTGAGTTTGCTTGTAACCCCACGGGGGTCACCGGTGACCGGCGAAGTCAAGATTATTAGAAACACATAATTCGAGTAAATTTTTCTTTCCTATTATTATCGTTACTAAAAGGGTTTGAAGAAATGAATGCAATATAGAACACACAAAAATAGTTTTATTTATATACACAGAGATACCAACTTGCTCTGGACAACGAATTGATATTTTCAAGTGGTAGTTTATTAATTCTGATTCTTGATTTAATTAATTCAATTTAGTAGATTTTTTCCACCACAATTTCTAAACAATTTGTAAGCTTATATAATTCACCTCTTTTTACTGATAATGCTAAATCTTTTAAAAAAGCTAGCAAAATCTGTCTAATATTTGCAAATTTAGTTTGTGGTTATTTACCGTTGTGGTCAGACGGGCAAGTCATGTAAAATTAGCGTGGCATCCAACGTGTTAATTGAAATATTTATTGATAGCTTAAAACATCTAGATGTATCCCACTTTCACTACCACTCTAAAAAAATTTCCAGACCATGGGAATCCTGATTTTCCAAGTGGTAGTGAAAGACTAAATGAAACGCAATTGTAGATAAAATTAACTTTTCACAATAGTTATGACTTTCTCTCATTTTATTTCCTTAGCTTGTTCTTATATCTAAGATTGATTTATTTGCTTTAGTGTTAGTCAAAACCATATTAAATTTAATTTATAAATCTAAGAGCAAAAAATAAATTTACAAGATTAATTTAAATCTAAAAATGATATACTACGGAGAATCAGTAGTTGTTAGCGTCTATGAAAAATCCCATTATTTATTTTTCTCAAAACCTTAATACATTAAATGGGGGTCACGTATGAATACGTTTTTGAAATTTCTGATATCATACAATTCTTAAAAGAGTATCAACAAAATTTATTTCCTTTTCTTTCAGTTTTTCAAAGAAAAAAATTAATATTTTTTACCACTGTTATAAATGATCCAATAGATCCAATAGTTTTCAGTTCAACATTTGCTCGTCAGAAATTCTTTACTTTTTTTTAACTAAAGTTGTAGCTAAGCGCCAGATTTGATAAAATTTCGCCAAATACTTCTTTGGAGTTTCATCTATTATTGGAAAACTTGACTGCATGCTATGCGTGAAAAATATCGCAATAAAAAACTTTACTGCAGGATTTTTATTGATTATTATTAGATTTATTCGAAAACACGAGCTAGGCCAACGCCTCCTACAACTAAAAGCCTCCACACGGTTTTTTATAGGTAGTCCGATCAAACCATTATGATTATAAACCAGTTTATGAAAGAGCCCTTTAATACAAAATCTAGTAGAAATAAGAAAGTGGTAGCAAATTTTTGTCTAAAAATTTTTTTAATTTCTGAATATGATTGATTTGTCTTATTTACTTGTCTACCACTACAGATTCCATTCTCAAATATATATGACAAATTTCCCTCAGACACTTTTAAACTACAATTTGGGTTAATGCGCACAACCGGTTCACTTTTTAAATAGTCTGCGCCGACTACTTATAAAATACCGTGTGGCATACCTGCCAACTCTTCCGGAAGATTTTATTTTCATATTTAAAGTGGTAGCAATACTCATGTTATTCCAATTAACTTCTTGAATTATAATGATAATTATAAATGAGTTTGACCACCACTACATATAAATAATTACAATAAATATATAAAAGCAGAATAATCCTTGCGCAAATGAATTTCAACGGGATCACAGAGATGCCAACTGCTCCGGACACGCCAAAATAATTTAAAAAATGGTACTTAATTACAAACTAAAATTTGCAAATAATTGACTAATTTTATTTCTTTTTTAAAAGGTTTAGTATGACTTAATTGAGACACAGTGGAGAATTATATATGCCTTCTAATTATGTAAAAACAGTGGTGGATTAAAACCTAATAAATAGAATTTATTAAGCCAAGACTTACAATTAATAAACTACCACTCGAAAATATTTATTCGCTGTTCGGAGCAAGTTGGCATCTCTGGGATCAAAATATAAAAATATTTTTGATTCAGATTGTATTTCGTTAATTGTATTACAACCACTCTGAAAATCCATTCTCGGAAGGAGTGAAAGTTGGCAGGTATGGTGTGGAGGCTTTTTGATATAGGAGGTGTTGGCTAGGCTTAGACTTTTACTATCCCTGCCGAAGCTACAAATTTCTTTCCCATATTTTACAAAGTTAATATTAATCAATATATTTTTTTTCCACTAAAAAAATAATAAATAAAACTAGATATAATGCAACAACGCTATGAATATTGAAGAAAAACAAAAATCCCATGCATTTGTGGCTTTAAAAAAAATA